CGGGGGGAGGACAGGGTGCCCGCCGAGTCGTTAGGCACGGCCAGCGCCTGCCGGGTGGGCACGACCCCCTTCTTCTCCTTCTGCTGGGGCTCGGCGACCATGGCGCCCCCCCACTTGCGCTTCTTGCCGTAGAGCTTGGCTTCCTGCTGGCCCAGGCCCAGCCGGGCAGCCTCCTCCTGCCGTGCCCGCGCCCTCTCGGCCAGCTGCTTCATCTTGGCCTCCCAGAGGGCCAGCCCGTGGTTGGGCTGGTTGAGGTTCTTGTGCTGGTAGAAGACCAGCGAGATGCGGGTGGGGTGGCAGCGGTTGGGTTTCTTGAGCGGCGTGGTGGCGTGCAGCTCCCGCCGGGCACACTCGATGAGGATGGAGCCGTGCGCGGGGGCCACGGCCACGCCGCCGATGTTCTCGTCCAGGAAGTTGTGTTCGCTGTCCGACCACAGCTCTTCCTCCTCCTCCTCGGCACCCTTCTCCTCCTTCACGGCGCCCTTGTTGGGGGGCTCCTCGGCCGTCCCCTCCTCCAGGCTGAAGGGGTCCCACAGCTTCTCCTCAGACTTCAGGGCCCCAAACAGCTTCTCGCTGGAGCCAAGGGGCACACCGAAGGACTGCCAGGCTTTGTCCAGCTGGCTCGCCCCTGGGGTTGGAATCCGTCCCTCTTCCCCTTTCATGGGGTTCCACAACTTGCGTTGGAACCCGGAGCCACTTTTCAGGGTAGAAGTGAAATCTCCTGCCCCCACCCCCCAGGGCTTCTCAGTCAGGCTGGACCCAGCCAGGGCCGAGGTGCTGTTCCCAAACTTGCAGGGGCTCCACGGTTTGCCTCGCAGCCGTCCTCCAGGGTGGGCTGCCGACTGCTGCCCCTCGCCAGCGAACAGCCCCCACTGGCCATCTGGGAAGTGGGAAGGGGTCAGGCAGCTGGCCCCCAGAGAACTGAGCTTGTCAGGGACAATGGTGGCACTCTCCCCAGGAGGGAACACACCCCAGCTGCCACCCACACTGTTAGTCCTCTTGGGGGACAGGCTTGGGCCTCCTGAGTACTGTCCCCACAGGTGATTGGGTCCCCCATTCTGCGATGCCTCGGGCAAAGGTGTTTTGCCCATCTTACCAGGATCTCTGGGTACAGATTCGGCCTGGGCCAGAGGGTCTACTGGTTCTTGCTTGATGGATCTGTTGAAACAGTTGGAGCTCTGAGCAAACGGAGAGGGGTCCCTGGATGCTGGGAGGATCTGGGGGGCCTTGGGAAGCAGGTACTCCTTGGGGCCTGGATAAGCAGGCTGCTGGTGGTGAGGAGTGGGGTGATGGGTGTCTGTGGGAACAGCCTGGCCAGGCAGCTCGGCAAACTCAGCACCACCGTAGGCCGGGCTCAGGCTGCTGTGCAGAGCATGGAGGTCTGGCTTCTTCTCAAAACTGCCACTGCTGCCACTGTGTCCCCAGGCACCGGGGCCCAGGAACTGAGAGGGGAAGACAGGGCTGCTGGATGGAAAGCCATAGTAGCCGAATGACGGCAGGGCGTACTTGGAGTGGAAGCCGTTGACGGAGGTCAGGCTGGGCTGTGCATAGTAGGAGTGGTAGGAGTAGACGCTGCTCACGCTGTAGGGGTCGGAGGGCCGGCAGTTGCCCAGCACCGAGTAGCTCTCCACCACCGCGTTGCCGCTGTACTTGAAGGAGCTGAAGTGGCTCTGAGGCTCCACCTTCAGGGAGGACTTCAGGCCTTGCTGGGACAATCCACCCTTCAGAGACAGGCCTGGGGAGAACAGGAGGCAGGATGGAGAGGGAGCAGATGCCACCCCAGCCTGGGAAGGTCCTGGGCAGAGGACGGGCCGAAACCTCCCCCTTTCCCTGAGATTCCTCTTTTAGGATAAAGGACAGGGTGCATGAGCCATGCACTGCCAGGGCCTGGACCTGCTCTCCGGTGCCACTCAGCACAGCCCCAGCCCTGGCCCCACTGGGGCAGGAAGGAGGTGATTCTGAAGCCCTGGGAGAAGAGGCTCATGCAGCCCACACCTCCTTTCATGTCCTCCTCCCCAGCCTGCCCCAGCAAGTCCCAGAAGTCCTCACTGATGCCAGCACTCAGAGTGCCAAGTCTGGACCACTGCAGGGACCAGGGCCGGAGAAAGGAGAACTCGGATGGCTGATGGCAGCTGACGCGCCCCCACTGCACACCTAGGTACTCTGAAATGATGCTCCTTGCCTCAAATTCTAGAGAGGTGCAGCTAAAGCTGGGGGACACCCCGCGCTCCTCCTCCCCCAAGCTCAGTCCCATGGAGATAACCAGCCCTGTGGAGCTGCTATCATTCTGATGGGCATGGCTCAGCGGAGGCCCCAGGGCGTTTCTGTCTGCAGGTCCTGGCATGATGCAGGACGGTGTCTAGGGTCAGGGAGTGGGGTCCCACAAGGACAGTGCCATTGCCACCACGCACCTGGGTCTGTGGAGATCCCAGCCAGCTCCAGGGCCTCCTGCTTGATCTTCTCAGGAGTGCTCAGCTTCTCCTTCTGCATCTTCTTCTTCTCCTCTGCTGCCTTCCTGGCTTCCACCGGCTGCCGCTGGCGGCAGGACTTGGCAGGCTCCGGCAGGCGCCGGACCTCACGGGGGAAGGCGGTGAGCACCTGGATGGCCCCGCTGCCCACCTTGGCGTTCTGGTTCTCCTCACTGCCAAACTCGTCCGTGCTGGCCATCTTGTACAGGGGGAGCACGTGCAGCTGCTCGTCCTCGGGGATCTTGCCCACGCAGCGATTGTCTTCCTTGGTCAGAGTACAGACCTGCTCCAGGCAGGGGGGAGAGAGCAGACAGACCATTGGGGGACTGAATGCCAGGAGGGTGGGTCTTGAGTACCCCAAACAGCTGGTCCCTTCCCCGCACCGCCCCAACACCAGCCACCCACCAGCCCCGATGCTCCCCACTACTGCCTACGTTCTCATCAGCACATGCATCGTGGACCACAATAGAGTGTCGCCGACACCCAGGCCTGTGCTAGGACTTTCGAAGCACTGCCACCCACATGTCATCCAATCCTAATAAGGCTGAGTGGGGGATGAGATGCTAGCCCTGGGTCACGTGGCGGGCAGAACTGCAGGTCAAGCCCTGCCTGGCCGGCTCACCAGTACACCACCACCGCTGTCATTCCGCACCACCTAGCAGGGCTCAGACTTTGATTCTCCCAAATACTTCAGCTCCTTCTGCTCTTAAAATACTTTCCCTTCTTATGAACAACTCTACAGGCTGGCTATTAAAAATTTGGGCAAGCAGGGAACCAGCAGTTAGCGTAATGGCTATGTCGCTGGACTCCCATGTAGTCGACTGCGGTTCCTGTCCCGGACCCGGTGGCTTAAAACTCACACCGGGTGCATGTGCGTGCGTGCCCAAGATCCCGAGAGGAGAACGGGGGAGAAGGGATTGCAGTGTGGCCATCCCCCCTGGGGGGTGATTTCTTGCTTTCTGTCTCTGTCTCTTTGATGAGTGCACGTGCCCTATATATAGCAAAAGTTTCTCTTTTTAAAAAAAAATCATCTCGGGACCAGCAGTTAGCGTAATGGCTATGTCCCTGGACTCTCATGTAGTCGCCCGCGGTCCAAGTCCCAGACCCTGTGGCTTAAACTCACGCCGGGCGCATGTGCGTGCATGCCCAAGATCCCAAGAGGAGAATGGAGAAGAAGGGATTGCGGCGTGGCCAGCCCCCCTGGGGGGTGATTTCTCGCTTTCTATCTCTCTGTCTCTCTCTGTCTTTCTGGTGAGCGCTCGTGCCCTATAGTAAAAAAAAAAAAAATCCTCTCCAAAAAAAGATCTCTATAATCCCACCACTCAGAAACAGTCACTGTAAATGCTTGGGGTATATACTCATACACACACACACACACACACACATACACACACACACACACAATTACTTTTTGGTAATTAAAAAGAATTATATTATGCATATGGTCTTGAAATAACTTAATTTTTTTCTTAACATAGTATCTTTTCTTAAGCATTAAATATAAGAGCTGCATAATATTATTCTATTGTGTTGATGTGTTAGTTTATTTAAATAATCCTTTATTACTGACCATTTAAACTTGTTTTCAATTTTTCCTTACTATAAACAATGCTTTGGAGCTGGCAGGTGGCGTGGTGGTTAAGGATGCTGGACTCCCACATGGCTGACTGTGGTTTGAGTCCCGGACATGGTGGCTTGCTTTTTCACTTTCTCTCTCTCTTACTCTGGCCCTCTCTGGTCAAAAAAAAAAAAATTTAAAAAAAAAGTCGCTGGGGAACCAGCAGTTAGCGTAATGGCTATGTCGCTGGACTCCCACGTAGTCGACCGCGGTTCGTGTCCCGGACCCGGTGGCTTAAAACTCACACCGGGCGCGTGTGCGTGCGTGCCCAAGATCCCGAGAGGAGAATGGAGGAGAAGGGATTGCGGCGTGACCATCCCCCCTGGGGGGTGATTTCTCGCTATACATATATATATATATGTATATATATATATATATATATATATATGTAAAGTTAAATAAAATAATTCTTAAGAACAAAAAAAAACCACACAATGCTTTTAGAAATATACTCTTAGCTAAATTTTTAAAGACATTTAATTCCTTTGAATAAATGCTGTAAGGTAGCACATGTTGAAAAACTGCCCCGGAATGATTCTGATTCTCAGTCATACCAATAAAATGTTCCAATGTTCGGATTTTCCTATAGTTTTAGATAATTTTGCCATTAATTTCTTAAAAACTTTTTGCTTATCAAGATGAATCTTGTGGGGCCAGCAGGTGGCATGGTGGTTAAGGCGCTAGACTCCCACATGGTTGACTGTGGTTCAAATCCTGGACCTGGTGGCTTGATTTTCTCACTTTCCCACTCTTTTTCTCTCTCTGGTCAAATTGAAAGATGATAATAATAAGTAAAATTAGGGACCATCAGATGGCATAATGGTTATGTTGCTGGTCTCCCTCGACATCTGTCTGTCTCTCTGGTGAGCACACATGTCCTATATAAAAAGATCTTTCATAAATAAATAAAATAAAATAACCTTTTTTCCCTTCCTTTTTTAGAGTTTTACTATAGAGTGTATGCACTTGCTGAATAGAGACAGAGAAAGATAATGGGAGGAAAAGTGAGAAATCACCCCCTAGGAGGATGGCTAAACACAATCCCTTCTCCATTTTCCTCCTGGATTTTGGGTCTGCACACATACACACCCAGCATGATTTTCAAGCCACCAGGTCCAGGATTTGAACCACAGTCAACCATGTGGGAGTCTAGCGCCTTAACCACCATGCCACCTGCTGGCCTCAAAATAAATAATCCTTTTTTTAAAAATAAAAGAACTATTTATTTATTTAATTCCATGTTATTATTTTTTCATATGACCAGAGAAAGAGAGAAAGGGAAAGCCAGAAAGCAAGCCACCAGGTCCAGGACTTGAACTGCAGTTGGCCATGTGGGAATCCAATGCCTTTAACTACTACCCCAACTGCCGGCCCCTAAAATCAATAATTCTTTTTGTCGTTGTTGTTAAAATTTTATTTATTCACTGATTATTTTATTTTTACGGGGTTGGGGGGGAGTGAGAAAGCAAGCCACGAGGTCCGGGACTTTGAACTGTGGTCAGCCATGTGGGAGTGTCCAGTGTCTTAACCACCATGACACCTGCTGGCCCCCAAAATAAATATTTCTTTAAAAAAAGATGACCCTTGTGGTTGGTTTGCACTTTCTGGTTGCTAATGAGGTCTGATGTTCTTCAGGTTTCCTCTCTACTTGGTATTGACTGTATCTTGTTTTCTGTGCTCTTGATGCTCTGGTATCTGGAGCCTGGACCCTGGATGGTCTGCCCTCCTGAGGCCTAGCTAATTCCTAGAGGGAGTGCACAACTCCCCTGGTGGTGCACCCTCGACGTACAGCCCAGAGCCCACACCTCCAGGCGTCGCCTTTAGCAAACTCACAGAGCAAGCTCATATTCTCCCTGTCCTAAAGCACCCCAGTGCCAGGTACCAAGCAACCCCGAAGTACAGAGCCTGCTGAGATTATTCCAACTCTCCTACCCTAAATGTACTCAGGGTATCTACCCTTCCTTTGCCTCCTGGACAACCCCGGGGCTCCCCCACGCTCATCTCCACCCCCTTGGCCCCCACAGCATGCCACGCTTCCTGTTTCTAGGAATCTGTGAGTATAAACCAAAGTCTTTCTTTGTGACAATCATTGCTGGTCTGCATAGCCTACTGTAGCTCAGTAAAATGAATCCTGGGTAGACTTGAACACCGCTCTCTGTCTTCCTTCTTCTCCGAGTTTTACACCTTTGCCTATTTTTATGTTAACTATTCATTTTTTATCATTTACATAAGGTCATCTTTGCATATTAAAGTTATCACTTCATCACTTCTTATACATACGATGGCACGTGCATGGGCACATGGAGCTACGTGTATGGGCAGCTGCCGTTCACGTTCTGGTGCTCATCCGACATGTGAGTATACACGACGGTGCACAGTTACATAAGACTTACACAAGGGGATCACATCACACATATGTGCTACTCTATTACCGGCTTTACTTTCTTTTTAAAAAAATAATGCTGGAGGGTACATGTACCCGAGTGAGAACAGGGTAGGGGGTGGGGAGTGAGAAAGCGCCCCCTAGGGGAGTGGTCTTGCCATAATCCCTTCTCTACTATTTCTCCTTTCAGGATTTTGGAGACACACACACACACACACACACACACACACACACAGACACACAGACACACACACGCGCACGCCCAGAGTGTTTCATTAACCACCATGCTGTTAATCGTGTGGGACCCAACTTTAACCACCATACCACTGACTGGCCCAACCTGCCTTTCTTAATCCAAGGATGACTCAAGTTATCCATTTTGTACTGGCCTTTCTTATTTTTCATTTTATAATATTTTACTAGAAAACACATGTGCCTACCAGAGACAGAAACAGAGAAAGAGGGAGAGAGAAAGCACCACTGCCCTCAATGGGGCACGGTCACTCTATAATTCCTTCCCTATTTGTCCACCCTAGACTAGGATGGAGATAGATAAAATCAGTAATCGGCTGGCAATATTACAACGGCTATAGCTGAGATACAAAGGCTAGACTATAAACAACTATATGCCAACAAATTAGAAAGTCTAGATGAGAAGGACAGATTTCGGGATAAACACAAGTTACCTCGCTTGAATCAGGTTGAAACGGAAAGCCTGAAAAGATCAGTAACAACTGCAGAGATTGAAGCAGAGCTAAACAGGCCCCCAAGAAAGAAAAGCTCAGGTCCGGATGGCGTCACTGCCGAATTGTACAAAACACTCAAAGACGAGCTAGCCCCAATCCTTCTCAAAGTACCCCTAAAGATTCAAAAGGAAGGAACCCGTTCAAACTCCTTTTACAAAGCCTCTATTACTTTGATGCCAAAGCCAGACAAGGGTATAACTTAAAAACCTATAGACAAACATCCCTAATGAATACTGACACAAACATTTTCCCAAAGACACTAGCAAACCGAATCCAACAACACAACAGGAAGACTATGCACCACGACCAGGTAGGCTTTATCCTGGGAATGGAAGAATGGTTCGACATACATAAAACAATAAATGTAATATACCACATTAACACAAAGAAAGAAAAAAATCGTAGTCATATCTATAGATGCTGAAAAAGCATTTGATAAAAATAAAACATCTCTTCAAACCAAATAAAACATCCCTTCAAACCAAACCAACTCAGCAAAATTGGGGTAGAAGGGACATTCTTCAACATAATGAAAGCCACATATGACAGACCTACTGCAAGCATTATGCTGAATGAGGAAAAGCTAAAAGCCTTCCCATTAGAAACTGAAACAAGACAAGGCTGCCCTGTGAGTTTGCTAAAGGCGACGCCTGGAGGTGTGGGCTCTGGGCTGTACGTCGAGGGTGCACCACCAGGGGAGTTGTGCGCTCCCTCTAGGAATTAGCTAGGCCTCAGGAGGGCATACCGTCCAGGGTCCAGGCTCCAGATACCAGAGCATCAAGAGCACAGAAAACAAGAAAATAGGGACCAGCAGTTACTACAATGGCTATGTCACTGGACTGCCATGTAGTCGGCCACAGTTTGAGTCCCGGACCCGGTGGCTTAAACTCACACCGAGCGTGTGTGTGTGCATGCATGCGTGCCCAAGATCCTGAGAGGAGAATGGAGGAGAAGGGATTGCGGCGTGGCCATCCTCCCCGGGGGGTGATTTCTCGCTTTCTGTCTCTCTGTCTCTGTCTGTCTGGTGAGTGCACGCGCCCTATAGCAAAAAAAGGAAAAAAAAAAAGAAAAAGAAAAAAACAAGAAATACAGTCAATACCAAGTAGAGAGGAAACCTGAAGAATATCAAGCCTCATTAGCAATCAGAAAGTGCAAACCAACCACAAGAGTCATCTATTTTTTTTTTAAAGAATTATTTACGAATGAGCAGAAGGTGTAATGGTTACGTTGATGGACTCCCATGTAGTCAATCATAGTTTGAGTCCCAGATCCAGTGGCTTAAAACTCATGCCAGGTGCATGTCCATGTGTGCCCATGATCCCAGGAAGAGAATGGAGCAGGGATTGTGGCATGGCCATTCCCCCTGGGGAGTGATTTCTCACTTTCTGCCTCTCTGTCTCTCCGATGAGCACACATGCCCTATATTGCTCAAGGATCTGCTGTCACTTAATCCCTCACCTACTTCAGCTCTTCTCACACCTTCGCTGCCACCACATTATTTCACACTGTCGGCAGGGGCTGTTCTATTCCCCGGCATGCAGAGCAGTTCTGGGGCGAGTCGGTTCTCAGTAACCACGTGTTCAATGAAGGAATCAAGGCACTGTTTGCATTTAAACCCAAGTGTCTACAGAGACCCAGACCCCCGCTCTGGATAACAAGGGGCTCCAGGTGCCCCAGGATCTCCATCCGGCAGTGCCCCCCTAACACACGCACACACGCCAATCTCGCCTATCATGATGGTGAGGGTTTCCTCTGAAAAGTAGAAAGGCCCCTCCCAGAGTTCTGAGAATCCTCTCTTCATGCCCCTACTCGAAGCCCTCCTTGCTGCATGGATGCAGTCGGGCTTCCTCCCAGGCTGGTCCCACCGGGACCTGTGAAAGGGCTCCACCGTCCTTACCACAGTGCACCCATTGTAGAGGTTGTGCTGGTCCTTGTGGGCGTGGGCACAGAAGTCCATGCAGGCTGTGACCCCCGAGAAGGGCCGTCCTTCCTTCAGCCCCAGGCGGCAGTCGATCGCTATCTCCTCGTTGGTCACCTGCGTGGATGGCCAAGGAGAGCAGCTCACGTGACCTGACTGCACCTGGCAAGGCCAGGCCTCGGCGGGAGGGCGGTCAGGGAGCATGGTCACCTTGCACTTGACGACAGGAGAGAGACTTCCCGACTGACAGACCCCAGCTCCAAAAGGGTTACTTTTAAGCCTCTGTAGAATTAGAATGACTCCCTTTGGGTTATTTTGAATCCCCCTTGCCTGGGCTTGACCAGGAGACACCAGACAGGAAGTGGAGGGTAGCTGGGGATGGCGGTGAACTCCAGGGGCAGAGGCGATACGGGGTGGGTGCAGTTAGTTTGGTGTAAAGGGGTCTTATTAAAGAACTACTTCACTGCCTTTACTGTGGGCTAGGCGCCCCCATAGGAGCCGAAAGGAAGCAGCTCTCTCACTTCCCAATGCTGGGGAGCCCAGGAAGACAGGTGGGAAGAGAAAGGGCCAGAACCCAATACCTGGTTCTGATAGGCCTGAGGGGCCAGCCGCTTGTACAGGGGAGCAACTTCGGTGGCCAGGTCCTGGAAACTCTTCCGGAGCACTTCTTCCTGCAGAGAGAAGAGCAGTCACACATCCAGAGGGGCTCCACTTGACAAACACTGCACCCTGGAAAGGACCCACCACCATCCGAGGTATCACTGGGAAGGGGGGAAGTCAGTGTCTTTACTGTGTGGTCCCCTGGGAAGGATATGGGACCATGTCCATTTTAAAGTCGGGGGACACTGGAGACTAGCAGTTGGCAAATGGCTATGTTGCTGGACTCCCACATAGTCTATCATGGTTCGAGTCCCAGACCCGGTGGCTTAAATTCACACCAAGCACGTGTGCTTGCATGCGTGCCCAAGATCTTGAGAGGAGAATAGAGGAGAAGGGATTGCAGCATGGCCATCCCCCCTGGGGGGTGATTTCTCACTTTCTGTCTCTCTCTGCCTATCTGGTGAGCACACATGCCCTATAGCAAAAACCTCTCTCAAAAAAAGAAAAAAGTTGGGGGACCCTGAAGCTCACAAAAATAAAACAAAAAAAACCCAAACAAACAAACAAACAAAAACACTGCCCACTGAGGTCATCCTGACTGCTAAGCTACTGCTCCTCCCAGCTCAGAACACAGAGAGCAAGCTGTTGCTTCCAAGTGCTGAACACCCCAGGGTAGAGGTGGGTACAGTAGGCACAGAAAACGATGAGCAACAAGGATGGGTCCTTCCTCCTGTGCTACAGAAAGACATGTGAGGCCACCCAGACTGTGCTAGAAATTCAGCCAGTCTTGGGACCAACAGTCGGCGGAATGGTTACATTGCTGGACTCCCACATGGTCGACCACGTTTAGTGTTCCAGATCTGGCGACTTAAAACTCTGCCAGGTGCATGTGCGTACACATCCAAAATCCGGAGAGGAGACTGGAGAAGGGACTGCGGCATGGCCACCCCGTGCCCCAGGTGATTTCTTACTTTCTGTCTCTCCGACGAGCGCAGATGCCAGCCAGTCCAGCCCTGAGCCTGTCATGAGCCAGGTGTGTAGAGGAACCTACTGCTAGCTCTAGCTTAGGCTGTAGGGCACGTACGCTCGCCGGACAGAGGAAGAGTAGGAGGGAGAGACAGAGAAAAAGAGAGAGAAAGAGAAAATGAGATATCACCCCCCAGGGCAGGGCAGATGACTACACCACAATCCCTACTCCTCTGAGGATCTGGGGTATCCACACACACATGCCTGGCATGTTTTTCAAGCTGCTGTGTCCAGGACTTGAACCAGGCAGTTGGTCATGTGGGATCTAGCTTCTTTGACCTCCACGCCACCTGCTGGCCCCTAGCTAGATCACGCCATCTAATGTGTTATTCACAAGTCACACGTGGCCACTGAAGTACGATTTTCGTTCAAACTAGATACAGTGCCACGTTCAGGCCCTCAGTCGCACTAGCCACATTTCAAAGTTTCCACAGCTACCTGTGGCCCTCTGACTCCTGTACAGGACAGCAGGGCACATTCCACCACAGAAAGTCCCAGCGGATGGCACTGTTTCAAAGCTCAGCCCCAGGTCACACTGGAAAATTTGGGCACTCACAGCCTCTCTCTGGCCCTTACCAAGGTAGCAGTAGGGCTTGTGTGGGCTCCAAGAGGCCTTGGGCACAGACGGGAAGAGCTCATGAAAAAGCAAGCAGGGGGAGAGGAAAACCATGGGAACAGAACATTGAGACCAGTGGTCCAGCTGCCCATCCAGTGGGGAGGCAGGGCTGTGAGACACTCCTGACCTAACCAGCCCGGGCCAGCAGGGCCCAGCCACCTCCCCAGCTGCTGCCCCGAAGCGGCCGCCAGCACAGTGGGCCTGAAGCCAGCACAGCACAGAGTGAGGCTCTTGAGCCCTGGGAAATGCAGGCCTCGGTTATCCAGGTCCTGCCTTCACCATTCACTGGCCACGTGGCCTTGGGCAAGCCATTTGCCTTGTCTGTAAAGTGAGAGGAGACAGGATCTAGATCATTGCAGTTGTGAAAATACCGGCCTAATTCTGAGGTGCTCAGCACGGCGCCTAGAGCACAGTAAGAGCACAGGAAATGGAACACGGGCAGTAGTTAGAAGAAATCCAGTTTTCTTTAAAATTTCCAGAGGGTATATATGCAAGAGAGAGAGAGCGAGTGAGAGAGAGAGCGAGAGAGAGAGAGAGAGAGAGAGAGCGAATCTCTCCAATGGGGCGTGGTCACATCACAATCCTCTTTCTCTATTTCTCTATCTTGTCAGGATTTGGGGCAGGCACATACATGTGCCTAGTGTATGTACATTTCAAACTGCTGGGGCCAGGATTCAAACCGTGGTTGTCATGTGGGATCCAGTTCCCTGTGCACAGAGCTTAACTGCTGCATTACAGGGCCACCTGAGAAATTTGAGAAATTCAACCAATGTCTTTCATTCCTGGGAATTCTTAGCTCCTGGTAGTCTGAGAAGCTCCCTGTTCACTGAAAAAAACTGCATTTGCTGCTTCAGGGGGTGCAGGGGGAGTGCAAGTCTATGATCAAATTAGACTATTTTAAGCTCACATAATAATGTAAAAGCCAGGTTTTGGGGGGAAGAAAAGCGTTCTGTATTTGCGAATGCTTCCTTTTACTTAAGAAGAAGCAGAGCTTGGAACTCAGAGCACACTATATAAGGGATGTGGAGCAGACATGTGCCCAAGGGCAGCCCTGCTTGGCGAGAATGGGTGAGGTCCTTCTGATGCTCGGAGCATGGAAAGGTCTGGGAGGTTGAGACTAGAATCAAGATGTTGCCAGGATCCTCCTGAGGACCCCTCCCTCAGGCAGAAGCGAGGAAGGCTGGAGGAGAAATGACAGAGAGCCGGATAGGAGAGCGTCTCCCTCACACCTGGAACTCTGGGTGGAGACCTCTCAGACGGTCGTCACAGCACAGGCCAGAGGACAGCGGCAGAGAGGAAGGCCCGAGCTGTGCGTGCAGTGGAGACCCGAGGCACTTTGACCTGTGGTCCTGTGTCTAGGAAGGGGAAGGCCCTCTAGGCGGGAGTCCAGGTGAGACGACTAGAGAGAGCCCTCATGTCTAGCAGCCATGCTGTGTAGACGCCATTCATTGCTCAAGGACCAGGCCAGGCCCACGGCACAGACACAGCGAGAGCCTGGACGGCCAGATGACCATGCAGAGACATGTGCTCCACAGCCAGGCAGGATGTGGCATGCCTGGAAGGCCAGCAGACATCCAGGAACCAGAGGCCCCTCTTCCTGCTCCACCTCCCACAACGGAAAAGACACATCTTGAGAAGGATGAACGAGAAAGTGACCATCGAGAGTGTCAAACTCTGATGAGAAAGTTGGATATGTATCTTAAATACTCAAATATTCACCTTAAAAAATAGTCTTAGAAGACTATTTACACTGCAAAGGCCTGAGGCACCTGTAACAAGCAAGGCTAATATTTGTGCTTCGTGCCCCTCCCACACACCCCACACACCTTGTCTGACAGTGAGGTAAGGTCAGTCTTTAAAGATGGAGTAAAGCACGTTATGTTTTCTGCACAATTGGGTCATGGCAGGCCAGTGACACCTCCCCCTGGACTCATAACAGCACCAAGGAGGAAGGGGTGAAGGCTTACCTCTTTGGGATTGTCCCCCACGAGGCGGAACTTGCGAGGCGTCTTGCTCCGAGCGTATTTGCAGCCATTGAAGTACATGCTCCAAGAACAACCAAAGGAGAAGGAGGCACCGCAGGTGTTGGGGTCTTTGCCTTGGCAAGCGCAGGTCCGGCTGCAACGCAAGGCACGGGTTAGGCACACAAGTGCTGTCTACCTTTGTCCTGGCGTGTTCCTCCTCCCTGGAGGGGAGGCCCTGCAGAGGCTTGGGGTTCCCCAGCCTCCCAGCGACTGAGACTTACCCTTCCCCGCCCCCTACTCCTTGCACAAGTTTTCAGGAGTATGAAGCCAGCTCTGAGCAACCTGTTCTCCCCCACCCGAGCCAGGTGTAACCCACAGTCTGTTGTTGGGGGTGCTCTGAGTTGTTTGAGACAAAGTGGGGAAAATCTAGTAAAAAAACCAAGGTTTATACTTCGTCTTAACTTTAATAACTTTTCTGTAGTGCTTTTTATACAGGGTCTTGCCCTGTTGCAGTCCTCCTGTCTCAGCCCCTCAGCTGCTGGGATCACAGGCACGTGCTACCACACTCGACCGTTCTCATTAAGACCTGACTAGCTCTAAACAGATCACAACCCAGGAAAGGTGAACCTCAGGGTTTAAACATGCGTGTTTCCTACAGCCCAGGCCTGACACAGGTTACTAAACAAATACACGCCGATATTAAAATTCAATGCTTACTAAAATCTGGAAACCACACCAATGCCCTAACTGGGGAGTGGATAAACACACTGTGATCCACACATACAGTGGAATACCACTCAGGGCTAAAGAGGAGAGCCGCTGGCGTGCACCCCCACAGTGATGGACCTCCAAACCACCATGCTCAGCTGAAGCCAGACTGGAAAGACAACACGCTGTATGACCCCATTTATGTGATGTTCTTGCAAAGGAAAACCCGTGGAGCAGGAAACAAGATCTGTGGATGCCAAGAGCCGGGGGCGGGGCTTGCTAATGAAGGGCACGGGGTGTTTGGGGACACGAGGGAACTGTTCTATCTGGTGGTGGTGGCGGTGGTCACTACATGACTGTACGCATTCATCAAAAGTCTCTACATTGTACCCCTAAAATAATGAATTTTACTGTAAATAAATGCACTGTAATAAAAATACAACTAGGCAAAAGGGGCAGCCAGGTGGCATGGTGGTTAAGGTACCTGGATCCCACATGCCTAAGTGCATGGCTTGAGTCCCAGACTAGTGGTTTAAAAAACATGCTGGGCACGTGTGCGTGTGCCCAGAATTCTGAGAGGAGAATGGAGAAGAAATGAGGTGTGGGCATCTTCCCGCCAGGGTGTGGGGGTTCTCACTCTCTTTCTGCCACTTTCTGGCAAGTGCATGCACCATTACAGCAATTTTTTTAAAAAGTTAAAAAGGGGAAAAAAAAAAACGCTGCTAAGTGTAGGTTTTATAAACACCACTGATATCTCATATTTGAGGGGCCAATCTACTTTTTCACACTTGATACGTGAGAGCTCAGCACTGAGTGGGTTTACCAGGGAAGCGAGGCCAAGCTGACAGATGGCCAGGCCAGGGCCAGAACCCCGTCAGGATCGTGAGTGAGCGCTGCTCAACCACAGGCCTCTCTGCACGACAAACCGTGCCCAAGCAGGGCGAGACCTTTCCCCGACCCGACGCTCCCGCACACGGCTGCCCCGCCACCTACTCGTCGTTGAGGCCGCATCTCCGGCTGGTGGGGTTCCCATACTTCCGGAGGGTGTCAGTGAGCTCCTGGTAGAGGGTGTCTCCGAGGCTGCGGGGGATGCCCTCCCAGGCCAGGATGAGGATGACGATGACCGCGTTCTGGCAGTGGTGGCCCGCGCGGTGCCGCACTAGGCACAGCAGCTTCTCCTCTAGCGTGTGCCTGCGGATCACCTGTGGGGACATGAGCAGCGCCGTGAGCCAGCATGCCTATGTGTGGGTGCCACACGCCCCTCGCTGCCACACAGACCGGGGGTGCAGGCCTGCAGGGTATAGTGTCTGAGGGGCGCCATGACCTGGCAACAGCAACCACACTGGTTAAGAGGCCATTATAATTAGGGAACAAAACCCACAAAAGATATTTGAGAGCAAAATAAAAAAAATACTACGAAGTCTAAATTATTAATGATGTACATAGGCTTAGGAGTAAAAATACACAGATAAAACTGTGAGCTGAAACAGTCAGAGGTTTTTGCATTGCCCTAAGATACTTGCAGAGAAAATGCTGCATACCTGTGTGTTTTCAGTTAAAAAGCGAGGGGCCCAGCACTGTGAACACTTTGGCGGTTTCTCAAAAGCTAAACATAGAGTTACCATATATGATCCAGCAGTTTCGCTTCCAGAAATACACCCCAGGGAAGTGAGAGCAGGGGCTCGGGTCCTCGTCTGCCAGCGTTCACTGCAGCATTATTCACAACAGCCAAAGGCGGGGGCACCGCGGCCGGTAACAGATATGGAGATACATGCAACTATCGCCTGGCCAGAAAAGGAAGGAAAGCCGGGCACCCGCTACACCACGGGTGAGCCCTGAGGACGTGGTGCTAAGTGAAGTCAGCCAAACACAAAAGGACACGTGTATGATTCCAGCGACGTGAGGTACCTGGAGTTTATTCAGAGAGACAGAGAGTGGATGGGCGGTCATGGGGGTCAGGTGGGAGGGACTGGGGAGTCACCGTCAATGAATACAGAGTTTCGGTGTGTGATAATGAAGCAGTTTTGAAAAACAGATGGTGGGGGCCAGCAGGTGGTGTGGTGATTAAGGCGCTGGACTCCCACATGGTTGACCACGGTTCAAGTCTCAGACTTGCTTTCTCACTTTCTCTCTCTCTCTCTGTCTTTCTCTCTCTCTGGTGAGCACACACGCCCTATAGCAAATTAAAGATAGTAACAAAATAAATAAATACATAAGTAAGTAAGTAAATAAAGATGGTGGTGACAGTTGCATGACAGCGTTAATGTACTTAACGACACTAAAAAAGGGTTAAAACGGCATTTTGTTATGCATGTTTCCCACAATTAAAAACAGTAATTTACCAAGAAAGCGCTGACCTGCAGGCATTACACGGGCAGACTGCATCGTATATGCATTCTCTCGCCACAAAGCTGTTTCTAAAACGGGCAACGGTGCTGGACACTGCACTGTCCTGCTGCTAGGATCCACGCCCTTATGTCCAGGTCCTCGCTCACCCCCAACACTGTCCAAACTCACAAAAAGATGTCAGGGCAGGGTCAGCTCCACGGTGCAGCAGGCTGCGCTGCTCAAGAGAAGTCAGATCCCACACGGAGACTGCAGTTCGAGTCCCTGTGTGGTCAGCCTGAAACACACCAGACGCCAGTGCTCAAGACCAGTCTTGAGGACGGAGATTATGGCATGACCAGACCCCGTGGAGGGAGCTCAATTCTCTCTCTCTCTCTCTTTTGCACATCCGCTCTATCATGACTAAAGAGGAAAAAATAGTTGTGTTGGTGCAAGGGCCCTGGGAACTGGGTATGAGGTGGCTGAATCCCCTGAAGGATCCTAAGTGATTCTGTGACCAGACAGGGGAGCAATGAGGGCAGGTTGGAGAAGGTCTCTGAGTAGCAGCTGAGGGACAAGGACTTGGGGTGGGGACTCTACAAAGGCCTGTGAGCAGGTGGCTGATATACACAGTTTCAAATTCTAGAATGGGGAGTGGATGGTTAGGAGGAGGGCAACAGGGAGGCCAGCTGGAAAACCACTGAGTGAACACAAGCAAAATGAGTCCAAACCTCACCAGAGGGTGGTGTGTGTGCATGTGTGTGTGTGTGTATGTGAGGAGGGATAGGAAAAGAAGTGGATTCCTGAGACTTTGAGGAGAACCATGATATTGGAACCACATGACTGCAGGGGATGAGGGACGGAGAAGTTGTAAGAAACTTCCACATTTTGTGGCCTAGGAGATGAGTGGGCATGACAGTTGTTTATGGGCCAGTTACACAGGCACACACTGAGGTCACGGCGTTCCGGAACACCTGAGTAGCTGTTTCCAGAAGGTCTTGGGGAACAAGCTAGGGGTCAGAAGATGCCCGGGCCGCACAGACTTGGTCATGAGTGGCAACGCAGAGACATCATGAGGACAGCGAGGTAGGCTATGCAAACGAGGAAAGGGAGCCAGAGGTGAGACTGGCCGGGGAGTGCACCCGACAAGGTGGGGAGCACCTGCCCATCAAAGGGGGATGCATCAACCACTGCCTGGTGGGACTTTTGGCCTAGTGTAGTGAATTCTTCCGATTTCACAAGAAATTGGGAATCCAGATTTTCACGTGAAATCCCCTTTTAAAAATATGAACACTTGGGCCAGCAGATGGCATGGTGGTTAAGGTGGCTGGATCTCATTTGGGGGAGACTACAGTTTTGAGTCCTGGACCCAGTGGCTTAAAAACACACACCAGGTGCATTTGTGTGCACGCTCACCGCTCCCCCGCCAAGGGGGTGATTTATCATTTTCCGCCCTCTTTCTTCCCCTGGTAAGCACTCGTACCCTGCTGCAAATTAAAAAAATATGAGCACCACTTTCAATTGTTTAAAAAGAACTGTTTATTTTATTTTTATTTATTATTACTTTAAAATATGCAACAGGGTATGTGCACTCAGCAGAGACAGAGAGAGAGAGAAAAGTGAGAAAGCAAGCACCAGGTCTAGGACTCACATCAAGGTCAGTCATGTAGGATCCAGAGCCTTAACCACCATGCCACCTGCTGGCCCTTCAATTTGTTTTTATCATACTAAAATCTACATAACAAAATGTACTATTTTAACTTTTTTTTTAAAGAGATTTTTGCCTTAGGGCACAGGCACTCTTAGTAGAGAGAAAGACTGAGATGTGAGAGGCAAAGTGAGAAATCAGCCCCAGAGGGGATGGCCACACCGCAAATCCTTTCTCCTCCTGGGATCCTGGGTACACAGGCACATGCACCTGGCGAGAGTTTCAAGACACTGGGTCCAGGACTCCAACTGGGGTTGGCCATGTGGGAGCCCAGCAATGTAACAACTACGCCATCTGCTGACCCCTCTAATTAATTTTTTTTTTTTTAAAAGAGATTTTTGCTATAGCCTGTGTGCTCACCGGAGAGACGGATAGCCAGAAAGTGAGAAATCACCCACGGGGAATGGCCACGCCGCAATCCTTTCTCCTACATTGTCCTCCTGGATTTTGGGAATGCATGCACACGTGCCCAGCATGAGCTTTAAGCCAGTGGGTCTGGGACTCAAACTGCAGTCGACTATGTGGGAGTCCAGTGCCGGAACCATTACGCCATCTGCTCTCCCTCTTTTAACCATTTTTAAGTGTACCTTTTAGTGGCATTCGCACTGCTGTGCCACCATCAACACCACTCATCTCTCTGGGACTTCTTCATCTTGCAAAACTGAAACTGTATTTGTCTAACAATAACTTCCCATTCTCTCCTCTGGCCAGTCCCTACTTTCTGTCTCTGGATTTTACTCCTCTAGGTACTTCACGTAAGTAGAATCGTACACAGTATGTGTCCTTCTGCGACTTTTGGATTTGACCTTCTGGTTTAGTTTTACCCAGCGCGGTGTCCTCAAGGTCCCTCCATGCTGCAGCACGTGTGGATTCCCTCCCACCTGTGAAGGGTACTCTGCACGCCCAACAAAACACATCTCAGGCTGCGAGTCTCTGCTCCGAAGCACGCCAGGCACAGCGCCTCCCTGCTGAGGCAGACTGCCTCCTTGTTTTTAAAACTGTATCTTGCGGGACCAGCAGTTAACGCAATGGCTATGTCGCTGAACTCCTGTGTAGTTGACCATGGTTCGAGTCCTGGACCCGGTGGCTTAAACTCACGCCGGGCGCATGTGCGTGCTAGCCCAGGATCCTGGGAGGAGAATGGGAGAGAAGGGATTGCGGCGTGGCCATCCCCTCTGGCGGGTGATTTCTCACTTTCTGTCTCTCCGCCTCTCTCTGTCTTCTCAGTGAGTGCACGCGCCCTATAGCAAAAACCTCTTTTAAAAAAAATAACTGTACCTGGAAAACTGGCAGCACATGAATGCAACACAAAGTCGCAGACCGTGTTGAAACATCCTCCACAACCGCATGCTGTCCTGCAGACTGCGCCGGACACATGGGTGTCTGTGGACACTGATGAGACAGTGGTCCCTGTGCAAGGCTTTTCAAGGTGCCATGGCTGACTCCCTGACCGCCCAGGGCAGCTCACTGCTCACTGCACTCATGGGCCATGTTCAGAGCACACGGAGAGACACTCAACCAGCCACAGCTGTGACTGAGCCCATGGCACTTCCACTCCCTGAGTGACAAGCACACCAAGGTCATTAGACAGTCTGTGGCCACAGCCTCACAGGCCGATGAGTGCCACTAAAACAACTGTAAGAAAGCAGCAGAGAGGGGCTCCCTACGCAGCAGGATGAAAGGCACACAGGTGTAGAGTTGAAGGCATGGACACCCCGCCACCCGAGCATGGCGACACAGTCGGTGCACACGCTGTCACGGAGTCATCGACGCGCCAAGCGTGGGCAGGAACTCCCTGAGCACTGAATGAGAGCAGTACGACACGTAGCTGAAACCAAAGACTGTCCTCCCATAATTCCCACCCATGGGGTTTCCCCAGGAAGTCTATGCTACCGTGCCCCGAGGGGCCTTCAAATACCTGCCTTCTGCCCTCCATTAACTGTCACACACTGGGCCAAACGGCGCTTCCAAGGGTCTTCTACCAATAGCCCATCTGTGCTGTGTGCCATGTTTATTTCTGGCATTTATTCTGAGCCTCTGGGATGCTACCAGGTCCCCTCTCCCTCCTTGACACAGCATCTTTGGTAACTCACAGTACAGGTCACCTTAAAATCGGAGCTGGCCAGAGGGCCCCCTGGGTTCACCTACTGTTTTCTCATACCATGCTCTCAACACACACACGCTGGGCCCCCATGCTGTGCCCTGAATCTGTCCCCCAAATCCAGTCAAGTCTAGAGCTTGCCAGACACACTGCTTCTGGCTGAAGACACTGCTTAGGGGTGGGGAGGGTGTCCGAAGCCGCGAACACAGACGTGAGCCCTGCTGGGACACAAAACCTGGGCTCCAGACATGAGACCAGGTAGGGCGGGAGACCCAGACCCATGGGAGGCGGCGTGGCCACGGGGCACTGCTTTGGATGCCAGAGAACGTGCCCTCCTCTGTACTTGTGGGTCACCTCCTCTCCAAGCTCCATGGGAGGGGGGAGTCTTTAGACAAGTCCTTCTACCAAAACACAGGGTATTTGGCAGCTATGTGGCCAAATAAAAAACCCTGAAGTCCACTGCGCTGGAGGAGATGGCAAGGAAAGAAAAGACCCTCGGCACCACCATTTTCCGCCATGGTAACCGTTCTGTGATCAGCCCAGGGGCCTGGGCATGCTAGACGCTGTTGCTCTGGAGGCTATGGCCAATGGATGGCCTGGGCTCTGTGAGCTGGGCCCAGCAGTGAGACAGGGAGACCCTATCTGAAAGAGTTGGGTGTGCTGGTGCATGCCTGTGGTCCCTGCTACTCACGAGGATGAGTCGGGAGGATTGCAACACAGCAAGAACGCAGCATGATAAGGTCTTACAAATAAAATACAATTAAAAAAAGAAGTTGTGTGATCTACCATCCATTTGTTTTTCCCATAGAAATGACTCCCTGGCCCATTCAGTGGCACGGCAGTAGCACACTGTTCAAGTGTGCTGGATTGGCATGGAAGACTGGGGTTTGGTCTCCCCAATCTTGTGTGCCCATGACCCTGGCTGGCTGGGAGCCTTGGAGTGATGCAGGGACTGTAGTGTGAGACCTTGTTGAGCATGCGTGTCTGTCTCTCTCTCTCCCTTTCATGAGATAACTAAATAAGCTTTAAAACACATTGAGGACAGCAGGTAGCATAACGCCTGCGGCACTGGACTCCCAGTTGGCAGACCACGGTTCTAGTCCCGGGCCCAGTGGCTTGAAACACATGCCTATGCATGTGAGCCCAAAATCCTGAGAGGAAGATGGAGGGGAAAGGATTGCAGTGTGGCCATCTGGGGGGTGATTTTTCTTGTTCTGTCTCTCTGTCTCAAGCACACATGCCCTATAGCAAAAATCTCTCTTAAAAAATAATGGACTCTTCCCCCTCCATTTCCTTTACTCACTAGACATGGGATCTCCCCCTCTGGGAACTGTCACTCTGCATTCTCTCCAATGCATCACCCACCAGGGTTCAGTGACACTAGGAGCTTCCCCATTCTTGAACACAACCCTCAAGTCTGCTGTGCTATGCATGCCACCCTGTGTGGGGGGCACCAGTCCACAGGCCTGAGGACCGAAAAACGGAGGGCCCAATTCCTCCCTCCGTCAGTCTGCACCCTCTCACAGCCCCTGCAACTGGGCAGCTATCTCTAGGCCAGCATGCTCTGCCTGGCCCTCGCTGGAGCTGTACAGCCCTGGCCAGAGTTAGCGCTTCGGCATCTGCCTGTCGGGCCTGGAACTCATCTTCTCTTTCTTGGTGCCAACCCCACTGCCGGCTGCCCCCTTCTCTAAGCGGCCAGCTTCTTTGAAGCTGGAAAAGTTCCTGCTCAAGACTTTGGAATTTCTCAATGATGGCACGAATCAGCTGGAAAAGGGGGAAGCAGTTCCGCTACAGCTGATGTCCTTTTCCTGACGGGCGCTCTGAGGAGCTAAGCCCCGCCCTGATCAGGCACGTCAGCCGTCCCACTGCAAAGACTCTCCAGCGGGTGGGGAAACCATCCTTCATACCTGTGAAGGCGCTCAGTGGTTCCAGATCCCTTGGTGGTATATCATTCTGCAATGCTGACTGAAACTTTCTAAACACGGCTGTGTAGTTCAAGCCCAGACACCTTGTGTTTCTACTAAATACAAAGACGTGAAGGCATGAGGTCTGTGCCGGACGGCGGCAGCACATGTGCAGACGGACACGTGCAGAGTGTCTTACCGGCCGGCCACACTCAGCCTCGGGATCTTTCCTACATGACTGTCCTCCCCAGGAACGCATCGACCCGCCCCCGGCCCATTTACTCGGCCCACTATCCGCAGCCCCATGAACACCCCTTTCGTGGGAGACCTAGCCCGAGCGTTCCCCTTGGCACTCACACCTCTTGGGCCAGAATCTGCCTCTCAAGCCTCAGCTACGCAAGACTCTCTGACTACTGCACGCGTCTAGAGCCCGAACAGCCTGAACACGGGGACTGAGCTTCCGTCTTCCTCGTGTACTCCTGCCCCCACCAGCCCAGTACAGCGCCCCCCGCAGGGGCCTGATGGACCTCGCTGCTGCTCCTGAGCACACACTCCACAGAGCAGACCCTCCACTCCGTGAAGAGCACTTCAGGGACCTGAAGGTCAAGGTCACAAGAACTGTGTTCGGGTGAACTGGGGCCTGAGTCACCGATACCCTCCCTGCTGAGACGCCCAGGCTGCCCGGTAGGAGAGAGCAGCTCAGAACTAGGGCAGGCCACGGCTGGCCCATGACCAGCCAAGCAGGAGATAGGCACACTGGCAGCGCCAGAGCACACAGCGGAGGAAGAGGAGACAGAGTCCACGCTGGGGCCCAGCACTGGGTCATGACGGCAGCTCCAGTGGCCCCTTCTACCCCTACAGCCCTGAACCACAGGGACAGTATGGGCTGAGAAACAGGCCTAACGCATTCCCGGGCCAGCCCAGGACCCAGGGGCTTGCACTTGATCAAGATGAGGGAAAACTCGAGGCCAGTCAAAAAGGTTCCCAACGAGGTATCAGATCCCAGCTCCGAGGGTCCCCAACAATAAATGACTATGTCCTACCACCCACCCCAGCCTGGCCTGCAGCCTGCTTGGCTAGTGAGGTCAGGAGACAAGGCCCAGGTTCGGCTGCCAGGGCTCAGCACTCACCCACTTTGCAATGGGGCAGCCCCGGGAGCTCTTCCCCTCCTTCCCGGTGTAGATGACCTTCTCGATCCGGATGGCTTTCCCCTTCTCTCCATACCTGCGAAGGGAGATGGAAGCCACGGTTAGCACAGCGGAACCTCGAGGAGGAGAGCTCTGGTTAGAAGGCAAGCCTCAGTGCGCTTCTGTGGGGGTTTGCAGCTACTGTGACACAGGAGAGAGAGAAAGGTGAGCGTGCTCTGTGTCCACAGGGCCACTCTGCAAGCACAGTGGCCACTTCCAGGCCCCTTCTCTGCTCCCAGCCTTCCGGCCACCCCCTGTGCCAGGGCAAAGGAACAGTCAAGCAAAATGCCCCTGATTACTGCGTCCAAGCATCTGGGAACAGTCCCGAGGCCACCGGCTAACGCAGGCACTTGTACTCAGTCCTGGGAGCTGAGCTGCCCTAAGATTTAGCTATTTATACATTTTTGAGAGGTTTTTGCTATAGGGTGCATGCACTCACCAGAGAGACAGAGACAGAAAGCAAGAAATCACCCCCCAGGGGGGGATGGCCATGCCGCAATCCCTTCTCCTCCGTTCTCCTCTCAGGATCTTGGGCACGCACGCACACACACATGCCCAGTGTGAGTTTAAAGCCACCAGGTCTGGGACTCAAACTTTAGTCGACTACATGGGAGTCCAGCATCATAGCCATTACGCCAACTGCTGGTCCCAGGGAGGACCTTTATTGCTCTCTTTCCATAACTCTCAGCTAACATTTGAATGCAATAAGGACAAACAGCTGAGGCTGAAGGAAGGGACCCTACCAAGCACAAACATGGGCTCCAAGGTTCTCCTGGACAGGAAGCATGTCTGGTTCCTGCACACCCACCCTGCCTGGCCCACACGCGCAGACACAATCAGGGCTTCAGAGTCCCAGATCTCTGAGGTCATCCAGTCAACCAGGGCTTGCTTTTTCAGACGTAAGGAACTTTTGGCTCCAGAAATGAACTGACTCTGGCCACACAACTACCTGACGGCAAAAATGGAGAACACAGCCCTGGAGGCCAGGCAGACAGGCTGGAGAACCAGCTCGGCCCCTCCCGTGCTGTATACTGTGGCCACGTCACTGACCTTCTCTAGGCCTCAGTTTTCACATCTGTAGAAGAGATAAAAACGGTCCCTACTTCCTAGACTTGGAAAACATAAAACGATAATCCAGGGGAGTACATTCTTCAAAGTTTCACTTTCTTCCATAAGAGACAGAAAGACAGAGGCAGTACTCCAAGAGTCCTCACGCCATAACCCCCCTCCACAGCCATCCCAGACCACAGGCACGTGTGTGAGCACCCCGGACACTCGGGGGGTCCTGAGACACAAACCCAGGACCCTTCCTACGTGGGTGAAGTGGTGTCACCACTCTCCCATCATCTAGTCCCAGCATGTTATTTTAAGTGTTTCAAAGTTCCTGGCATGAGGGAAGAGCCCAAAAATTACTTTTAATAATGTAAAATTCATCTTACTTCCTTATCTTTAATGTTTTTTTCAATGATTATTTTGTAATGTTATTATTGCATTATTGTATGTATTATTGTATTATTTTGTAATGTTTTTTGATTAATTATTTATATGGGTACAGCAGGCGGCATGGTGGCTAAGGGCTCTGGGCTCCCACGTGGCCGACCCTGGTTTGAATTCTGGACCTGGCAGCTTTCTCTTTCTCTCGCCCCCCAGTCTCTGATCACATTTAAATAGAAAAATAAAGTTAAATAAAATAATTATTTTTAAAAAATTAATTGTCATAGGGCAAGTGCACTGCCAGAGAGAGGGAACACACCCCTCCAAAAAAAGAGGGAAAAAAAAGAATTATTTTTATTTAACTTTATTTATTTTTTAAAATTTGACCAGCATGGGACCAGCAGTTAGCATCATGGTTATGTCGCTGGACTCCTATGTAGTTGGCTGTGGTTCGAGTCCCGGACCTGGTGGCTTAAACTCATGCCGGGCGTGCCCAAGATCCCGACAGGAGAATGGAGGAGAAGGGATTGCGGCGTGGCCCTCCCGGGGGTGATTTCGTGCTGTCTCTTTGTCTCCCTCTGTCTGTCTGGCGAGCGGACGTGCCCTATAGCTAAAAACCTCTCCCCCCCCAAAAAATTGACCAGCATGGGTCTGGCTAAATGAAATATAATACATTTTACAGCAAAATAAAATCAAGTTTCATACAATGGGAAACTACAGCTCTCAGAAACGATTAGATGGGATTGTGTGCATTGACATGGAGGAAAGCAAGCGAGGGGAAGCGAGCTGTAAAGAACGGACCTATCACCACTGACCCGGAGGGACTCGGTCTCACTCTACACACACACACCTTTGTAAACGCTTAGAAAGATGCAAAGGGAAGCATCAAACTCTTATTTTCAAAGTTTCTTCTGGGAAGAATAATTGCTGGAGAGCTTTGTTCACTCTTAGCCTTTAAAACTCTTTTGTTTGTTTCTTTTTTTTTTTTTGGAGAGGTTTTCGCTATAGGGCATGTGCGCTCGCCAGACAGACAGAGACAGACATAGAGACAGAAAGCGAGAAATCTCCCCCCAGGGGGGATGGCCACGCCGCAATCCCTTCTCCTCCATTCTCCTCTCGGGATCTTGGGCACGCGCGCACACACGCCTGGCATGAGTTTAAGCCACCGGGTCCAGGACTTGAACCGCAGTTGACTACGTGGGAGTCCAGCAACATAGCCATTACGCTAACTGCTGGCCCCTTGTTTCATTTTTGTACTTGAAACAGAACAAGGACTTAGAGAGAGACAGAGACAGACAGACATCCTCCACAGGGTCTGGTCATGCTGCGATCCCCTTCTGCCAGTCCTCCAGTACCCTGGGCTCAGGTACATGCCTGGTGTGTTTCAAGCTGACTGGGCCAGGGATCTGAACCACTGCCACCCTGTGAGACCCCGCATCTCTTGAGCAGTGCACTACCACTGTACCACAAAGCTAACCCTTTTTTAAAAAATGCTGACCTAAGATTTTCTTTTATTTTTATTTTAAAATTTGCTATCGGGCATGCATGCTCACCAGAGAGAGACAAAAAGAGAGGGAAAGACAGAAAGCAAGCTGCCAGGTTTGGGACTGGAACTGTGGTTGACCACGTGGGAGTCCAGCACCCTAACCACCACACCATACCACCTGTTGGCCCCTCTAAGGTTCTTCTGAATTCCTTGCTCTGTCTTTCACTCATTCTCTTAGCAAAGGGGTGAAAAGCGTTTCTGAGAATTGCCTAGTTGAAACTCTGAGGCCCTGACGGCCCCATGTAGACACTGTATGGAAACAGGACTCGGAGGGGTTATATAGCGGGGTCTGGGTCATGAGGAAACGATTGGCTAGGACCGCTTCTGCTTGGTTCCTGGACGGCTTTCATTCCAATAAACAGTTGTCAGAAAGTCACCCGCAAGTGCAGAGTGTCCTGGGGACTCCTGTGGGAAGGAGCAGCCGCAGGTGACCGCACCGCTCTGACTGAAGAACTAGCGTGTCCCTCACAGGAGGGTGAGCTGGGGACACAGGCTTCCCACCGGTCCGTCCCCGCCATCCTGCCCTTTCGAGGAACACGTTCTGCACTGAACTTCATGAGAGAGCAAATAACAGAGCCACGCACTGCCTACTCGGCTGCACCTTTAACAAGAACAAGACAGAACTGAGTACTTCTCTGTGTTTAAAGACAACCAATCAGCTCTCACTGTAGCTTTCTTCTTTTTTATATTTTGAGAATTATTTCATTTAGATTTATTTATTTACTTACTTATTTTAATTTTATCAGAGAGGGAGAGAGAGAGAGAGAAAGTGAGACAGCAAGCCGCCAGGTCCGGGACTTGAACCGTGGTCAGCCATGTGGGAGTCCAGCGTCCTTAACCTCCACGCCACCTGCCAGCCCAGCTCTTTCTTCTTAAATGTCTTCCTTCCTGGTCTATCCCGAAGAAGCCCTTCTAGTGTACAGAACAACTCCTAAACCAGGGCCGCAGGGCCAGGCTGAAGACTTACTCTAACAGGGAACTGGCGATCTTAGGCCGCGGCTCTCCGAGGATGTCCTAAGACCAGCCGCATTGGCACTCCCCAGGAATTTGGTAGGAACACCAGGTGGACTCTGGGTGCCGCCCCAGCCCACCTGGAAGAGAGACAGGGAAGGAGCAGCCTGTGGTTTCCCAGGCCCTCGGCAGATGCTGACGTCTGCTCCCGTCTGATGACCGCTGCTGCAGGGCGTGCTCCTTCAGGGCCGTCTCCCCCGAAGCACAGAGGACGTGCCAGCACAGTGTTGGTGCTTATTTCTAGAACAAGCTTTTAATGAACTCCTAGGCTGCAGAGAACCCCTTCACAGGGAGAGCATACAGGCTCGGCGCAGCACGTCCTTCTCCACTGGGGCACTGACAACTGACTCCAATTATCCACTACAACGAGGACCTGGGTACTCAGGGGTACGAAGCCCATAAATGATTTCGGATATTTTAAGATTTGCTTGCAAGCTCCTCCAATTTCTACAAATCTCTACCAGAGATGCTAAATGCGCCAATGTCTGTTGGATTTCAGTTTACTTTCCCTCCCCGCCTTTACTGACTCTGACAACAGAGTGGACCTGCAGAGAGGTCAGGGGAGAGGTCTGTGGGGAGAGGCAGTCTGGACCGTCCATAAACCAGACCCCCAGCCAGGGGATCGCCAATCATTCATTCTTCTCCTTGTTCCAGAAGGGACCGTAAGCAGCTGTCTACATGGTACAGGTAACAGGCGACAGCAGCGTAGAGGAGGAGAAAGTCAGGTACGCTGGCAAGCAGAGGGTTGTGTGTGTTTTTGAGAGATGAGCCTGGGACATCTTATTACATGAAGAATCGAAAAAGCTTATGTAACAGACCCCTTAGGGCTATGTCAAGAAGGCAGGAGCGAACCCGAATAGAATCCCATGGCCAAGGACGAGAAACGGCATTTCTCCTAACGGGGTACATAAATCTGGCTTGAAGCTTATGAGCAGCCAACATAAAGATGGAAACGCAATCTGTCCCATAGTTTACGAGGGCCTTAAGATAAAAATATACCAGTTGCTGAGGAAAATCACAAGTATTCTTGGTCCTGGGAGGAATTCCTCTCTTGGCTCAGTTTCTGAAGACTCTACAGTTGACTGTTATTTTTAAACCAATGAAAAACAAAAAGACAAATCTCGACTTTATGACTATTTCTCTCTCTCTTTAATGATGGGGGGAAGAGGAGAGAGGAAGAGACAGACAGGCATTTTGACTGGTTCTTGCCATGCCTACTCCTCCTGTCCAAGCTTTAGTGACCTGGGGTCGCAGGTGCACACCCCCGCACCTGGAATGCTTAGGGTGGGCTGAGAATCGAAGCCAGGCCTTCCCATACGGCCTCAGTCTGCAGCAATTGCAACATCATTTTGGCCTGGCTCTCCGCCCCAGTTCTTTTTCTACAGGGTGTGTACACTCATGAGAGAGAGAGAAATGGAGGGAGGAAAAGTGGAAACTCACCCCCCAGGGGGGATGGCCACATCGCAATCCCTTCTCCTCCACTCTCCTCTCAGGACTTCAGGCACACTTGAACACGTGACGAGCCTGAACTGCAAGCCATGGGTCTGGGACTCCAAGTGCAGTCAGCCATGTGGGAAGTCCAGTGATTAACCACCACACCCCCTGCTGGCTCTCTCCACTTACTTACTTACTTACTTATTTAAAAGGAGAGCAAGCAAATGGCTGAGAATCGAAGCCAGGCCTTCCCATACGGCCTCAGTCTGCAGCAATTGCAACATCATTTTGGCCTGGCTCTCCGCCCCAGTTCTTTTTCTACAGGGTGTGTACACTCATGAGAGAGAGAGAAATGGAGGGAGGAAAAGTGGAAACTCACCCCCCAGGGGGGATGGCCACATCGCAATCCCTTCTCCTCCACTCTCCTCTCAGGACTTCAGGCACACTTGAACACGTGACGAGCCTGAACTGCAAGCCATGGGTCTGGGACTCCAAGTGCAGTCAGCCATGTGGGAAGTCCAGTGATTAACCACCACACCCCCTGCTGGCTCTCTCCACTTACTTACTTACTTACTTACTTACTTATTTAAAAGGAGAGCAAGGAAATCACATCAAGCGCCATGTGAGTGCATGCGGAAAGAGAAAATACGTAGGAAGGAAAGAGAAAGCCACAGGTCCTTTGGCCAGGGTCTCGCATGCAGCAGTCCTCCTGCCCCAGCCTCCCAGCTAGCTAAGACCACAAGTAGGTGCATGGCCTGTGAGGACAGGGCCAGGACTTGAACTCGGGACTCTCATGCAGCCCTAGCTGCCATGCAGCGGTGTCCTCCCACCTGCACCACCATGGCTGTGCCGATCACTCCTCTTAATCCTTGTTTCAAAAACACCTGTTCCAGATCAAACTTGTGCATTTGTCTCCCTGCAGCAAACAACAGACAGTGTTGAGATTCCTTATAAAAACCACTGGCCAGGCCCAGCACACACAGGACGGTGCTGCTTGGCAGAGTAAGGTCTCATGGAAGGCTGGGGTTCGATTCCCAGCTCAACCTTAAAAAACGCTGGGTGTGGCGGTGTGTACCGGTAGTCCAAGCTACTTGGGAGACTGAGGATCATGACAGCAAGAGCCACACAGGCATGCGTGACAGAAAGGAAAAAAGAAAAAAGCATGGTCACCATGCCGCCTCTGCTCCAGCCTGGTAACTTCAACACACACACGCGAGGCACGCGTTCGGACACATTCACAAGATGTACTATTTTACATCGGTTTTGCTCTCATGCCTTTTATTCATTTGGTTATTTATTTATATTTTAAAGGTTTTGGTCATAGGGAACATGTATGAGCTTGCCAGAGAGAGACAGAGACAGTGAGAGGGAAGATGAACAATCACACTTTCCTCCAGGGGAGATGGCCACACCGCGATGCCTTCTCCTCCATTCTCCTCCTGGGATTTTGGGATGCACATACATGCACTTGGCATGAGTCTTTTTTCCCTTTAACATTTATTTATTGCCATTTGTTGTTGTTATTATTATTATTATTTTAAATTTGACCAGAAAGAGAAAGAGAGAAAGGGAAAGTGAGAAAGCAAGCCACTAGGTCTGAGACTTGAACCATAGTCAGCCAGATGGGAGTCCAGCACCTCGGCCACCATGCCACCTGCTGGCCCTTGCCTAAGTCTTAATCTGCTGGATCTGAGACCTGAACTGAAGTTGGTCATGTGGGAGTCCAGCACCCCAACCACTACAATGCCTGCTGGCCCCAGAAATGCTTTTTGAATCAGGCTTGGATTTATAGTGAGTCTTTGACCAAACGCTTTTCTGAATACCAATGTTTCCAGATGGTAGGACATTAAGAGTGATTACCACAGGTCACCAGTTGCCTTATCCCCTATTCACTCAGAGACGCTGTTACAGTTATTAAGTTCAAAATCATGTTTCCTGCTACAGTGACAAGATTAGTTTGGCCTCCCTGGTCAGACAAAATCTGGTTCCTAAATCTGCAGATGCACTAAGCTACTCGGCTTTCCATGCATCAGTGTGTGTGCATGTCAGCAAAAACACCTATGTTGATGTAACCTTTTCATTTCTTCTTTTATGAGAGAGAGCATATGCATACACACGGGATAGGGGGAGGGAGAGGAGGACGGAGGGGGAAGAAGACAGAGAAGCACCCTTGGCAAAGGTCTCATCGTGCCAAGACCCTCTTCTCCCAGCCACTCAGGATCATGGGCATGCAGGTGAGCCCAGGTGTTTTCAGGCCAGTCTGGGACCTGAACCTGCAGCCAGCCATGTTCCAGCTCTGCAGGACACTGTGTCACCGCTGTACTGCAGTGGCTGGCCTGCCTTCATACTACGACACGAGTGCAATCAGTACATGTGGATGTGAGGCAGACGACTGTCCGCCTCCGTGCTCACAGCAAGCACCGTGTGTTCCGTACACCAGTTCCGGTCAGACTCGCGACACTCCCGCACATGTGCGCTCTCGTCATCATCTCCACTATGCGGATAAGAAAACGGAGGAGGAGAGGTCTCAGCAGCAAGTGGCGGGGCCAGGATGGGATCCCAGTCTAGCGCGAGGGTCCATGCTCTCAGCCACTGAGCTAGGGGACCTCTCCGCAGGCTGGAACTCAGAGCACACGCTGCCTGACGTGGACGCGTACGTGCAGGTTAAAGTCTCTAACTAAATGAACTAATTAAAAAAAAATGCATGTTAAATAAAAACGCTGTCGTCTTGAATTTTAATTGGGAGTAACAATATAAACTCATGATATATTTAATCACTAAACCATAACAAAAATTTAAAAATCCGTACATATGCTTTAAGCTCTTCATTGAAATGAGCCTAAAAATAACAAACAGCCCATTATAGCCGTGAGCGCTCTGGCACCCAGAGTTTGTTTTCGGAATGCCTTTTCTGTCAACAAAAGAAGCCACGATTTCGTGGGTAATTGTACAACGTGAGCCCAGAGCATATTTCATCATATAAGAAATCAAGAAAGCGGGACCAGCAGATGGCATAATGGTTATGTCGCTGGATTCCCATATAACTGACTGCAGTTTGAGTCCCAGACCCGGCGTCTTGAAACTCACTCTGGGAGCTTGTGTGTGTGTGCCCAAAATCCCAAAAGGAGACTGGAGAAAGGAGTGCAGCATGGCCATTCCCACTGCACTCCCCCCCGGGGGGGGGGGATCTCTCGCTTTCTCCACACACATCCTATAGCAAAAAACAAAAACAAAAACAAAAAACTTTCTTTAAAAAAAAAAGAAAGAAATCAAGAAAGCTATAAAAGACGTCTAGGATCATGGCTAGAATTCAGGCGATAACTTGAACAGGATCCCACTAAAGGGGAGCCATCGCATCCCTCCTTGTGGAGGTCTGAGACATCACCTATGAAGCAGTTTTGGAAAAAAGGCAAAAAAGAAAAACAAACCAACTTGATTCTAATCAGGCTTTTAGATCTAACTACCAAAATATAGAACCACACAGAGGCAGAGGCCAGAAGAACATGTAGCAATAACCAGGTGAAGGTCATCAGTAAAATCCACACTGTGAGAAACTAACTCTAGGGACCAGCAGTTAGTGTAATGGCTATGTCGCTGGACTCCCATGTAGCCAACCACAGTTCGAATCCCAGACCCAGTGGCTTAAACTCACGCCGGGCGCATGTGCGTGCGTACCCAAGATCCCCAGAGGAGAATGGACGAGAACGGATTGCGGCATGGCCATCCCCCTCCCCCCAAGGGGGGGTGTGATTTCTCGCTTTCTGTCTCTCTGTCTCTCTATGTCTCTCTGTCGAGTACACGCACCCTATAGCTAAACTTCTCAAAAAAACAAAACAAAACAAAACAAAACCCAGAGAGAAACTAACTCCAGAAAACATACACGAGGGGGCTTCAAAATTTCATGGGAAATGTGTAATATTTATATATATGTGTGTGTGTGTGTGTATATATATATATATATAAACATACATGTATTTTAAGATTTCTGCACCAAAATAAACTCATACTTGAATCCCATTTTCCCACAAACTTTCTGAAGTCCTCTTGAATAACCACTTTCCTTCAATAAAAACACTTCAAGAGGGAGAGGAGGGGCATACGGAGTGCACGTCTGTAGGTGGAAAGAAACCCAGAAGCGGGCCAGCAGGTGACGTGGTGGTGAAGGTGCTAGATCCCACATGGCTGACTGGTTCGAGTCCCAGTCAGACCCGATGGCTTAAAAAACGTATCAGCACACGTGTGTGCATGCCCAAAATCCTACAAGGAGAATGGTGGAGATGGAATTGTGGAGTAGTCAACCTCCCCGGGGGGTGATTTCTCACTTTCCCTCTTTCTCTGTCTTGGACGCACGCAGGCACCCAATGACAGAATCTCAAGAAACCCAGAAAACACCGAAAGTGAGAATCCCACAATCTGCCTTCCGAGATCCGAGATCAGGGCTTGGTGTCTGTATGGCCTAGTATGAGGCAACCGAATGAGAGGGGCTTAGATCTAAGTCCATACTCCATTGGGCTCGACCACTTCTCCCTGGGTGTCTGTGAATCACTCACCGCTCCTCCATGAGTTCCCGGATAGAGGCCACCGTGGGGCCAGATCCCAGGTGAGTATAATACGGACCTTCATCTTTCTCCACTATTTGTTCTGCAGAAACACACAAAGAGAATCATTATTTGGCAATACCAAGTAACATTAATAGATAGGCACTCCAAGAAACCTCAATGGCTTGTAAACATGTTAAAATGTGTTCGTTATCATTAGAAATCAGGACACACACAGTAAAATCACAATGAAACCCCATTCCAAGTTGACGAAATTGGCGAAAATTTTAAAATCTGATACAGCAAAGTATTGTCAAGACTGGTCTAACCACTTTAGAATTCGGCTTGCTATTTTCCAATAAAGTGTTGAATTCCATATGATGCAGAAAACAAATTTTTAGATACACATTCCAGACCAGTAGTTAGCAAGCGACTCCACTTCTGGGTAAATAACAAAATGAACTGAAAAATGGGACTCCAAAAATACTTGTATGTCAGTGTTCACAGCAGTATTAACAACTACCGAAAGGGGAAAACAGGACAAGAGTCCACCATCAGGTGAACAGATAAACATGTGATATATTCATACAATGGAATACTATTCAGCCAGAAAAAAGGAATTAAGTTCTGATACAGGCTATTACACGGATGAACCTTGAAAACATTTACGCTTTGAAATAAGTCAGATGTGAAAGGTCAAATACTGTATGAACCTGTATCATGCCTATGACGTATCCTGAACAGACAAATTCAGAGACAGAAAGCAGATGAAAGGTTACCAGACGCTGGGAGAAGGGAATGGGGGTGATGGGTGAATAGATACAGAGTTTCTATTTAGAGTGATGAGTACATTTCAGAAACAGATAGTGGTGAAGTTGCCCAATATTGTGAATATAACTAATGCTACTAAACTTTACACTTAAACATGATTAAAGTAGCAAGTTTTATTACATATACTTAACCGTAAATATGTCATTGAAAACAAAGTTTAAAGAAAGTGCTGCTACATGCTGCAATGCAGAGGAACTCTGCAAACGTGACCTGACGTGAAGTGAAAGAAGCCAGACACAAGGTCGCGCTGGACTTCCGCCCACACGGAAGACCCGTACTAGGTACAGCTACAGAAACAGAAAAGAAATGAGTGACTGCCTGGGGCTGGGGCTGGGCCTGGGGCTGGGGTGGCTGTGGGAGGAAGGAACGCAGAATAACTGCTTAATGGGTCCAGGGTTTGGTTCTGAAGTGATAAAAATGTTTTGGAATTAGGGGCGGTGGTTGCACAACATCGTGAATGCATTAAATGCCAACGAATTGTTTAACTTTTTCTTTTTTCCCCAATTGCGGGAGGACACGGCACTCGTCTGAGCGGGATAAGGAGAAGCACCCTCAATGGGGCATGAGTCCCACTGCGACTCCTCCGTTTCTCTATCCTGTCAGAATTTTGGCACACACACATGTGCCTGGTGTATTTTTCAAGCCACTGGGGCTGGGACACGAACTGTGGTCAGCCATGTGGGATCTGGCTCCCTTAGTCACCAGGCGACAAGGCTGGCCTGAATTGTTTACTTTACAATGGTTAGTTTTATGTTATGTGAAGTTCTCTTTCATCAAAAAAAGCAACAAACTATTTATTCATGTAGCAATGTAGATGACTTTTGAATGAATTATTCTAATTTAAAGAAACTAGACCCAAAAGGCTACATAATGGTAACTTAAGAAAACAGTGTTCTGCTTGGATACTATAAGGCTACATACAACCAAAAGGACCCACACACAGAGCAGCAGAGCGCTGGGCTACGCTGGGCTACTGGTTGTAAGTTTGTTTCATGTTTAAAGAGATCTGTCAGACTGGCAGTTGGTATAATGGCTATTTCGCTGGACTCCCATGTAGTCAACTACGGTTCGAGTCCCAGACCCAGTGGCTTAAACTCACGCTGGGCACATGTGCATGTATGCCCAAGATCCCAAGAGAAGAATGGAGGAGAAGGGATTGCAGCGTGGCCATCCCCCCAGGGGCTGATTTCTTGCTTTCTGTCTCTCTGTCTCTCTCTGTCTTTCTGGCGAACACATGAGCCCTATAGCAAAAACCTCTAAAAATTTTTTAAAAAATAGATAGATAGATAGATAGATAGACAGACCGACCGACCGACCAACCTGTCAACTAAATACAATGCAGTTGAGTCTTACAGAGAAAGACTGTTGCAGGACCTTACACTAGGTCCTATAACAGAAAAAGAACATTAATGGAAAACTGATTAATCTAAAAAGCATACAGCTAATAACATTATAACTACCATTAATCTCTTAGTTTTAAGTGTACTATAATTAATGCAAGTGAGACATCTACATTAGGGAAAAGTGTTTAAAAGGTATAAAGGAATTCTCTGTACCAATTTTGCAACTCTCCTAAAAATGCAAAATTATCTCAAAATAATAAGTTTTTTTAAAAAAATAATTGTTTTATTTAAATTTATTATTTTTTTTTGGAGTATAGAGTGCGTACACTTGCTATAGAGTGTGTACACTCACCAGAAAGACAGAGAGAAAGAGAGAGAGAAAGCGAGAAATCACCCCCCGGGGGGATGGCCACGCCTCAATCCCTTCTCCTCCAATTTCCTCTTGGGATCTTGGGTGTGAGTTTAAGCCACCAGTCCAGGACTCAAACTGTGGTCGACTACTACTACCCGGTCCCCGACCGGGTCCAGGACTCGAACCACGGTCGGCTACATGCGAGTCCAGCAACATAGCCTTTATACCAACTGCTGGTCCCTATTTTATTAAGAATTATTTAATTTAACTTTATTTATTTACTTACTTTGTAAAATTTGACCAGTGAGGAACAGAGAAAGAGAGAGAAAGTAAGCCACCAGGTCTGGGACTTGAACCATAGTCAGCCATGTGGGAGTCCAGCACCCTTAACCACTATGCCACCTGTCAGCCCCAGTCACTATTTTATTTAACTTTATCCACTTATTTATTTTAATTTGACCAGAGAGGGATACAGTAAGAGAAAGAGAGAGAGGGCAAGAGAGAGAGAAAATAAACCACCATGTCCGGGACTAGAACCGTGGTTGGCCATGCGGGAATCCAGTGCCCTTAACCACCACGCCACCTGCCGGCCTCTCAAAATAATACATTCTTAAAAAGTACAACATAGGGTGGTTAAGGCATCTGGATCCCATGTCCTCATGGCCAACAATGTGGTTCAAGCACCAGACCTAGTAGCTTGAAAAACACATGGAGTATATGTGCCTCTGTGCCCAAAATGCTGAGAGGAGAATGGAGTAGAAAGGATTATGTAGTGACCATCCGGAAGTCTAATGGAAAAACTAAAAACAGAAAACAAACAAACAAATTAGTAAAACATGGGCCAGTCCTGTAGCCTAGTAGTTAAGGGAGCCAGATCCTAAATAACTAACTGCAGTTCAAATTCCAGCCCTGGTAGCTTCAAAAACACACTGGCACATGCCCAAACCCCAGCAGGACGGCCAAATGGAGGGTAAGAGATTGTGGCGTGACAACGCTCCATCAGGGGGTGCTTCCTCTCTTCCTCCCCTCCCACACACATGCCTCCTGGCAGTTAGGGGAAAACAAGATAAAACACAAAACACAGGGACCAGCAGTTGGCGTAATGGCTATGTCGCTGGACTCCCATGTAGTCGACCGTGGTTCGAGTCCCGGACCCGGTGGTTTAAACTCACGCCGAGCGCGTGTGCGTGCGTGCCCAAGATCCCGAGAGGAGAATGGAGGAGAAGGGATTGCAGCGTGGCTATCCCCCCTGGGGGGTGATTTCTCGCTTTCTGTATCTCTGTCTTTCTCTGTCTGTCTGGCGAGCGCATGCGCTCTATAGCAAAAAAACCTTTCCAAAACAAAACAAAACCGAGGCACAGAGCCTTAATTCACTAACCCTGTCCTAGAAGAAATCTTTGTCACACACATGCTAGATTTTCATGGCAAAATTGCTTGCAATAGTTAAAACTGGAAACAACTTGCAATAGACCAAATTTTTGTGTCCCCACCATACCCAGAAGTTGATGTCTAATCCCTTATGTGATAGTATTTGCAAGAAGGGCTGGTAATTAGGTCACGAGGAGCCTTTCTGAATGAGATTAGTGCCCGTATAAGAAGGGGTATCAGAGAGACCCCACCCCTGCTCTCAGCCATGTGAGGTCGCGGTGAGCAGGTGGCTGACTATAAGCCAGGATCCGGCCTTCCCCAGACACTGGGTCTGCTGGTGCCCTGATCCTGCAATTCTCAACCTCCAAAGCTCCCTGTTTAAGTCATCCAGTCTGTGACACTGTGACACAGCTCTTCAACTGAGACACACCCCATAATGCAGCAACGATGGATTGGGTAATGGAACACATACAATGAAATACATCCAGCCATGAGAAGCCACAGCCTGCAACAGGGCTGACTACAACATCAAAGTGAGTGAATGTGCAATCGAGAAAAAGTACAGAAATATTCTGTAAATAATATCCAAAATAGGGACCAGCAGGTGGTGTAATGGTTACATTGCTGGACTCCCATGTAGTTGACCATGGGTCAAGTCCTGGACCCAGAGGCTTAAAACTCACTCTGGGTGTGTTTGTGTGTACGCCCAAAATCCCAAGAGGAGACTGGAAGAGAAGGAATTGTGGCATGGACATCCCCCTGGGGGGGGTGATTTCTTGCTTTCTGTCTCTGTCTCTCTGGTGAGTGCACACACCCTATAGCAAAATAATAATAATAATAATAATAATAATAATAATAATAATATCCAAAATATACCCTACTGAACTATATAATGTTTTAGAGATCTAAACACAGGTGCTAAAATTACTGGGTTAAAACATGAAGTAGATAGTCAACAAATTTTGGCCTCCAAGAGCTAGCTATTTTATATGCTTCAACCTTAAAATAGAGAAGAGCAAGGAAATAATTGCACGAAGGTTAAAAAGCGTGATCACCTGGGGACGGCAGAGGAATGTGACAGGAAGGGTATACACGGACCTTGTAGAGGCCTGGAAACAGACTATTTGTCGATCCTAGTGGTGATTTATAGTTTCACCAAATTGTATGACAATGTTTTGTATCTTTTCCTATGTAGACAATTTATCATTT